TCGAATTAAGGGTCTACACAGCCCTTAATTCGAACTAGCTAGTTCGAACTAGGCTTAATCCTCATAAAATGGGGAACTAACTTTGTAGTGTAGACATACCCTCAGCGACCAGGGAGCTTGCGAAAAGGAGCTGTTAACAGGGAGTTTGGAGGGGGAGTTGGGAAGGGGGAGAGATACACTTGCCATACTTTAATAATTTTTCACTCCACTCCTTCCCTCCAGGGTTGGAGGCATTGAATAACAACTGAGGAATCTCTCAGAAGGAAGGTAGGTATGGATGGTGATAGCTCTGCTATTGTCACCTGCACAGCATGTGCCATGTTTGTCTTCCTCCCAGAAGAAAGAAGAGATTTCATTTGCGCTAAGTGCAAGCCGGTCGCCATTTTGGAAGAAAAAATTAGAGGACCACTCCTTCCCTCCAGGGTTGGAGGCATTGAATAACAACTGAGGAATCTCTCAGAAGGAAGGTAGGTATGGATGGTGATAGCTCTGCTATTGTCACCTGCACAGCATGTGCCATGTTTGTCTTCCTCCCAGAAGAAAGAAGAGATTTCATTTGCGCTAAGTGCAAGCCGGTCGCCATTTTGGAAGAAAAAATTAGAGGACTGGAGGCCCAAGCATTGATCCTATGTTCTATCTGAGAGGATGAAGACTTCCTCAATAGAAGGCAGCGTTTAATCCTGCAGCCACAGTAGGCTGAAAAGCCAGTCAGGGCAGTACAGCACAAGGAAGAAAACTGCCAGCATGTAATCTCTAGAAGAAGTCCAACTCAGGTATCTCCCGTTCCTGTGGAAGTAAGTAACCGCTTTCAGGCTGTCTCCACAGGCACTGCAGTGGAAAATGCTTTGGCAGGGACCTGTCAGGGAAGAAATCAGAAACCATCTACTGGAAGGCATGGGATGCGCAGTCCTAAGGATGGGCGTTCCACGACCACCTCCTCCCCAAAATAAAACGGATGGTGGTGGTCGGGGACTCCCTCCTATGAGGGATTGAGTCATCCGTTTGCCGTCCAGACCTGCACACTCAAGAAATGTGCTGCTTACTGGGAGCTCGCATTCAGGATGTGACCAAGAGTCTTCCAAAAGTGATGAAACCTTTGGATCGCTACCCCTTCCTGCTGCTTCATATAGGAACTAATGATACAGCCCAGAATGACCTTGAGTGGGTCACAGCAGATTATGTAGCACTGGGAAGAAGGATCAAGAAATTTGAAGCACAAGTAGTGTTCTCATCCATTCTTCCGGTTGAAGGAAAAGGTCCAGGGAGGGATCGTTGAATTCAGGAAGTAAATGTGTGATTGCGCAGGTGGTGTCGGAGAGAGGGCTCTGTTCCAGGCACAAGGATTGTTAGGAAGAGATGGGATCCACCTAACCAAGAGAGGAAAGAGCATCTTCACGGTCAGGTTTGCAAACCTAGCGAGGAGGGCTTTTAACTAGGTTCATTGAGGGATGGTGACCAAAGCCCTTAGGTAAGTGAGGAAGTCGGACACCGGGAAGAAGCACAAGGAGGAACGAGCAACAAAGAAGGACCCCTGATTCAGATGGAGAAGGTAGGGCGATCAACTGGTTATCTAACATGTTTGTACACCAATGCGAGAAGCCTGGGAAACAAACAGGAAGAATTATAAATCCTGGCCCAGTTAAAGAACTGTGATTTGATTGGAATAATGGCGACTTGGTGGGATGACTCACATGACTGGAGCACTGTCATGGAAGGGTATAAACTGTTCAGGAAGAACAGGGAAGGGAGAAAAGGAGGAGGAGAGTTGCAAGCAACACGGGAATGCAGGGGCAAGATTAGAAAGGCAAAGGCACAAAATGAGATCAAACTAGCTACAGGCATAAAGGGAAACAAGAAGACCTTTTATAAATACATTAAAACCAAGAGGAAGCCCAAGGACAGGGTAGGCCCACTGCTTAGCGAGGAGGGAGAAGCAGTAACAGGGAACTTGGAAATGGCGGAGATGCTCAATGACTTCTTTGTTTCGGTCTTCACCGAGAAGTCTGGAGGTGTGCCTAACGTAGTGAATACAAGCAGAGAGAGGGTAAGTTTAGAAGATAGGATACACAAAGAACAAGTTAAAAATCACGTAGGAAAGTTAGATGTCAGCAAGTCACCAGGTCCTGATGAAATGCATCCCAGGATACTCAAGGAGCTGATAGAGGAGGTACCTGAGCCTTTAGCTATGATCTTTGAAAAATCATGGCAGACAGGGGAAATTCCAGAAGACTGGAAAAGGGCAAATATTGTGCCCATCTATAAAAAGGGGAATAAGAACAACCCAGGAAATTATAGACCGGTCAGTTTAACGTCTGTCCCAGGGAAGATAATGGAGCAGGTAATTAAGGAAATCGTATGCAAACACTTGGAAAGTAATAAAGTGATAGGGAATAGCCAGCATGGGTTTGTGAAGAACAAGTCATGCCAAACTAATCTGATAGCTTTCTTTGATAAGATAACGAGCCTTGTGGATAAGGGAGAAGCGGTGGATGTCATATACCTAGACTTTAGTAAGGCATTTGATACGGTCTCGCATGATATTCTTATTGATAAACTAGGCAAATATAACTTAGATAGGGCCACGATAAGGTGGGTGCATAATTGGCTGGATAACCGTAGTCAGAGAGTTGTTGTTAACGGTTCTAAATCCTGCTGGAAAGGGATAACAAGTGGAGTTCCTCAAGGGTCTGTTTTGGGACCCGTACTATTCAATATCTTCATCAATGATGTAGATATTGGGATAGAGAGTACGCTTATTAAGTTTGCAGATGATACCAAACTGGGTGGGGTTGCAACTTCTTTGGAGGATAGGGACATAATTCAAAATGACCTTAGCAAGTTAGAGAAATGGTCAGAGGTAAACAGGATGAGGTTTAATAAAGAGAAATGCAAAGTGCTCCACTTAGGAAGGAACAATCAGTTCCATACATACAAGATGGGAAGCGACTGTCTAGGAAGGAGCATGGCAGAAAGGGATCTAGGGGTCATAGTGGACCACAAGTTGAATATGAGTCAACAGTGTGATGCTGTTGCAAAAAAAGCAAATATGATTCTAGGTTGTATCAACAGGTGTGTTGTAAGCAAAACTCGTGAAGTCATTCTGCCGCTCTACTCTGCACTAGTTAGGCCTCAGCTGGAGTACTGTGTCCAGTTCTGGGCGCCACATTTCAAGAAAGATGTGGAGAAATTGGAAAGGGTACAGAGAAGAGCAACAAGAATGATTAAAGGTCTAGAGAACATGACCTATGAAGCCAGGCTTCATGAACTGGGCTTGTTTAGTTTGGAAAAAAGAAGATTAAGGGGGGACATGATAGCGGTTTTCAAATATCTAAAAGGGTGTCACAAGGAGGAAGGAGAAAATTTGTTCCTCTTGGTTTCTGAGGACAGGACAAGGAGTAATGGGCTTAAAGTGCAGCAGGGGAGGTTTAGATTGGACATTAGGAAAAAATTCCTAACTGTCAGGGTGGTCAAATATTGGAATAAATTGCCAAGGGAGGTGGTGGAATCTCCCTCTCTGGAGATATTTAAGAACAGGTTAGATAGACATCTGTCAGGGATGGTGTAGACAGAGCTTGATCCTGCCTTGAGGGCGGGGGGCTGGACTCGATGACCTCTCGAGGTCCCTTCCAGTCCTATGATTCTATATCTCTATGATTTTCCGGAAATGCTTTTAACGGAAAAGTTTTCCGTTAAAAGCATTTTCGGTTGGTTTCTGCTATACACCGCCGGATCAGGTGGATGAGGTAGATGAAGCTTTTTTTGGACATCTGAGCTTCTAGATCGCAGGCCCTGGTTCTCATGGGCAACTTTAATCACCCTAATATCCGTTGGGAGACCAATACAGCAGTACACAGGCAATCCAGGAAGTTTTCGGACAATGTTGGGGATTACTTCTTGGTACAAATGCTGAAGGAACTGAGCAGGGGCCATGCCCAGCTTGACCTGCTGCTCACAAACAGGTAGGAATTAGTAGGGGAAGTAGAGGTGGGTGACAACCTGGGAAGCACTGGTCATGAGATGGCAGATTTCAGGATCCTGACCAAAGGGAGAAAGGAGAATAACAAAATACACACCCTGGACTTCAGAAGAGCAGAGTTTGATTCCCTCAGAGAACTGATGGGCAGGATCCTCTGGAATGCTTATATGAAGGGGAAAGGAGTCCAGGAGAACTGGCAGTATTTTAAAGAAGCCTTATTAAAGGCACAGGAATAAACCATCCCGATGCGCAGCAAGAAAAGCAAATATGGTAGGCAACTAGATTGGCTTACCAGGGACATCCATAGTGAATTTAAACACAAAAAGGAAGCTTATGAGAAGTGGAAACTTGGACTGTTGACTAGGGAGGAATATAAATATATTCCTCAAGAATGCAGGGGAGTTATCAGGAGGGCGAAAGCGCAATTGGAATTGCAGCTAGCAAGAGATGCGAAGGGTAACAAGATATGTTTCTATAGGCATTTTAGCAAGAAGAGGGTGACCAGGGAGGGTGTGGGGCCCTTACTGGATGAGGGAGGTAACCTAGTGCCAGATGATATGGGAAAAGCTGAAGTACTCCATGCTTTCTTTGCCTCTGTCTTCACGGACAGGGTCAGCTCCCAGACAAATGCACTAGGCAACACAGTATGGGAAGGAGGTGGACAGCCCTTGGTGGGGAAAGAATAAGTTAGGAACTATTTGGAAAAGCTAAACGTACACAAATCTATGGGCCCGGATTTAATGCATCCGAGGGTACTGAGGGAGTTGGCAAATGTCATTGAGGAGCCTTTGGCCACTATGTTTAAAAATTCTTGGATATCGGGAGAAATCCCAGATGATTGGGAGAAGGCAAATCTAGTGCCCATCTTTAAAAAAGGGAAAAAGGACAATCCAGGAGACTACAGACCTGTCAGCCTTACCTCAGTCCCTGGAAAAATCATGGAGATCCGAGGGTACTGAGGGAGTTGGCAAATGTCATTGAGGAGCCTTTGGCCACTATGTTTAAAAATTCTTGGATATCGGGAGAAATCCCAGATGATTGGGAGAAGGCAAATCTAGTGCCCATCTTTAAAAAAGGGAAAAAGGACAATCCAGGAGACTACAGACCTGTCAGCCTTACCTCAGTCCCTGGAAAAATCATGGAGGGGATCCTCAAGGAATCCATTTTGAAGCACCTGGAAGAGGGGAAAGTGATCAGGAATAGTCAACATGGATTCAGGAAGGGAAAGTCATGCCTGACCAATCTGATTAGCTTCTATGATAAGGTAGCTGGCTCTGGATATGGGAAAGTCAGTGGATATGATATACATTGACTTTAGCAAAGCTTTTGATACTGTCTCCCACAGTATTCTGGCCAGCAAGTTAAGGGAGTATGGTTTGGATAAATGGACTGTAAGATGGATAGAAAGCTGACTAGACTGTTGGGCCCGACAGGTAGTGATCAATGGCTCGATGTCAGGTTGGTGGTCAATTTCTAGCAGAGTGCCTCAACTATCAGTTCTTGGACCAGTTTTGTTCAATGTTTATATTTATGACTTGGGTGAGGGGATGGATTGCACCCTCAGCAACTTTGCAGATGACACTAAGATAGAGAGAGAGGTAGATATGCTGGAGGGCAGGGAAAGGATCCAAGGTGATCTGGATAGATTAGAGGATTGGTCCAAAAGAAATCTGTTGAGGTTCAACAACGACAAGTTGAACTTGGGGCAGAAGAATCCCAAGCATTCTTACAAGCTAGGGACTGAATGGCTAAGTAGCTGTTCTGCAGAAAAGGACTTAGGGAGTACAGTGGATGAGAAGCTGGATATGAGTCAACAGTGTGCCCTTGTATATCCAGAGATTATTCCCCTTTATTCAGCTCTGGTGAGGCCACATTTGGAATATTGTGTCCAGTTCTGAGGCCCCCCCCCCTCATGAAAGGATGCGGATGCATTTTAGAGGGTCCAGCAAAGCGTGACCAAAATGATTAGGGGCCTGGAGCACATGACCTACGAGGAGAGACCGAGGGATTTGGGTTTATTTAGGCTGCATAGGAGAAGAGTGAGGGGGGATTTGATAGCAGCATTCAGCTTCCTGAAGGGAGATTCCAAAGATGATGGAGGGAGGTTGTTCACAGCTGTGATGGATGGCAGAACAAGGAACAATGATGTCAGGGTACAGTGGAGGAGGTCTAGGTTGGATATTGGGAAAAACTATTTCACTAGGAGGGTGGTGAAGCATTGGAATGGGTTGCCTAGGGAGGTGGTGGAATCTCCATCCATAGAGGTTTTTAAGTCTCAAATTGAGAGAGCTCTGGCTGGGTTGATTTATTTGGGATTGGCCCTGCCTTGGGCAGGTTGCTGGACTTATTGACCTCCTAAGGTCTTTTCCAGCTCTATGATTCTATGAATACGAAGTAGCAGCTGTAAAATCTAATGATTTCAAAAAGAAAATAAATTGAATTTTTTGTTATAATTTGCCCTACTACTTATTGATGTCATATAATAATATAAATATGGAAATTTAAAAGAATTTCAGAATTCTAAATTAAAATTTCCAAAATGGTATTTTTTAAAAAAAATGTTTAATCAGAAATGTGTCAATTTCCCATTATGATTATCTGGAACTGCAAGGACATGATGCATTATTTTCTTGATGCTGCTGTATTTTGGAGTGTATTGTGACATATTTTGTGAAAATTAGTTCTGTTCTAGCAGAACTTAATGTAATCCTTTCTCTTTTACAGTTTGACTACAACCCTCAATTTGCAGACTGGTCAAAAGAAACTAGGGGAACCCCCTTAATTAGTGTAAAGCCATTGGATAACTGGTTATTACTATATACACGGCGCACTTACGATGCTGCCAGTACATTAGTTCAAAATTTATTTAAAGTTACTCCAGCTGTGGGTATCCTGATGAACAAGGCAATCATGTAAGTACTCTAGAATTGTAATAACTTGCTCAGAAACTTATAGTTTTTTATTTTTTCAATGACTGTGTTAAATGAGGAAGGTGTTCTAATGTCATTATATATTTCTATAAATCTTTTTATTCAAAGTGCTCCAGATTAGATTTTGGAATCAGTGAGTCCATGGGAACTTTAACTGGCAATTAAATAGGGTGCTGCTGATAGGAAAGATGCAGCTGGATGTTTGAAATCCATCATAACTGGTGGAGCTACTTTTAGTATAGACAGGAGCACCAGCAGCATAAATTACAAGTGCAAAATCAACTTAAAATATGATGAAAGTCTCCCTTGGTCAAACTCATAACTCATTTAAAATCAAGTTTAAAAAAAGAAATTCTGATTCAGGAACAGTGATAGAGATGCAGCCGTGTTAGTCTGGTGTAGCTGAAACAAAAGACCCAACTATGTAGCACTTTAAAGACTAACAAGATGGTTTATTAGGTGATGAGCTTTCGTCGGCCAGAGCCACGAAAGCTCATTACCTAATAAACCATCTTGTTAGTCTTTAAAGTGTTGCATAGTTCTGTCTTTTGATTCAGGAATGTTACCTTTTAATGTGTGTGGTAGAGTGACCCCTAGAGTGCAACGTGAATACAGTAACTTTGCTAAAAGCTGCAAATTTAAGTTACCAGGTACTTATTTTTTTGTCGATGTATGGGTAGCATATGTTCTTGCTGCTTCACCAACTATTGTAACTTTAGTTACAGCCATATCACTTTATTTTCTTACTTCCCTTTTTAGGATTGAAGTAGATGAAAGAACAGAATCTTATTTAAGAGCCTTGCAACAAAAGGTTACCTCTGACACACAGCTAGTATGTATGCTAATTCCAATAATTTCAAAGCATGATAATTTCCACTGTTGTCTATATATTGTGTTAATATCCTAATAATGAAATTAGTTCTGTTGATTCACTTATGGAGTTACGTGTCTCACTTCCAAGTGCCAGATTATACTTATGAAGCTAGTTATGTGTAAGAAATTCTGTTTTAATTAACATCAGAGCTTAAATATAGAATGTGTTGAACACTCATCACCCCTGAAAATCAGACCGTTAGTTTTAGGCACTAGAATTTAAGCACTCAAACTGGATAAATGTTTTATAGAAAATGCTTGGGATTGTTATTTTATGTTGGAAAGGGGGCGGTATAAGTGTACTGTGCAACAGATCTTTTAAATAATAAATTTGATTCTGCTTTTGTTTTTTTAACTTCTCATTTTAATTTTGAAGGTAGTTTGTGTTCTGTCTAATAATCGTAAGGATAAATATGATGCTATCAAGAAATACTTATGTACTGATTGCCCAACTCCAAGTCAGTGTGTTGTAGCTCGCACTCTAAGTAAACCACAAACTGTAATGGCTGTAGCAACAAACATTGCTTTACAAATGAATTGCAAGATGGGTGGAGAGCTCTGGAGTGTTCAAATCCCAGTAAGTAGCAGACAGTGTTTCGTTACCTTTTTTTTGGGTTTAAACATTTTAAATGAGAGTTCAGAAAGACACCACAGGTGGCTGACTGATTCTAAAGTTAAGTTGGTTATCTGCATTGTCTCCTACCCCAAATAACTTGCTTCCAAAAATAAAATGTCAACACAGGTAAACTTAATGCATAGGATACCTGCGTAAATAATCAGCTGATATCATTTTGCAAGGAAATGGAAGGGTACAGGTGGTAATGTGCTGAACTTTTAATTGAGAATTCATTTGGTGATATTCAACAGTTCTGTTGTAAAATGTAGGTTTCTGGATGTCAGCAGAGATACTTTCAGTAGAAACTACATAATAACAGATATTTTTTTTTAAATAAACATTTTGGAAATAAACAATATCTTGAACAATGAAAAACAGTGATTATTTTTGAAGCCTTTGGTGCTTTCAGTCTATCATGTTTTAGTGCAGATATGATAAATATTTGGTTTTGGTATGCTTATGCACTTCTTGTAAAATACTGTGTACTATTTTCTTTAAGTTGAAACAAGTTATGATTGTGGGAATTGACTGTTATCATGACACTGCAGCTGGACGGCGATCAATTGCAGGATTTGTTGCGAGCCTGAATCAAGGAATGACGCGGTAAGGTACCTTTTAGCAGTCAGTATTAGTGGAAAGAAGTTGCTGAAGTTGAAGCCTAATGTAATGAGTCATTATTTTAAAAGTAACTTTATCTAGTTGGTTTAACTTCAGACTGAACGTTTTCTTGAACACTATGTAAGCAAGAACTCGATTAGCTTACTATTAAGTAGTTGTAAATGGTTCCATAGCCCCCCTGCCTCCCATTGAGCGATTGAGCAGAGGGGGGAGAGTCTATATGGCAGAGCTCTAGCTGTTAGTCCTGTGTGGCAGTGCTGTCTTTTTTCTCTCTGCCTTCCAGGTGTGCAAAATCCTTCTTCATGAACCCCAGCCATCTGGGGCTGATGGCAAGAGTTCTTATGATAATAGTAAACAAAATAGCTTATGCTCCTCCAGTGCTTCCCTTGGGAGGCCTGCCCTATAGTTGGAGAAAAGATGCTGTAGTAGAATCTGATTTTTTTTTGATTGCATGATAGATAATTGACAAGTCTTCCTTTTCTGTTTGAATATAACACAATGAGAATTACAGATGATGGCTTTTGTAGATGGAAATTGAAAGACAACCTGATATCTTCCTATTTGAGAATATCTTCCTATTACCACTTCTGGTGCGGGAATGGAAGTCTTAAAGCTTATGCTTCTGTGCTGTGAACTCCAGAAGCACTTTAAAGCTTGGGCTTGCAAGTGAATCCAAATGTTCAGTACAAGGCTGTAAAAATAACTGCCTAACAGTGCCACCTTATCTTAATCTCTGATCTTATCCATTATACTTTCAGGAAGGCCAGGGGTACCATATGAATTAAAAAAAATCTCTTTATAAACTGGTCTGTGGCTCTACCAAATAAGTCCACTATTTTTTATTGTGATGTATCTCAGTATTTGACATGGTCAACAGATCATTGGTGTTGCCTAATTTTTAGTTTGTGTATTAATTATATAGATTACTAATGAATTTTTAGTTATTTGCAGATTGATACTTTTTTGTCCAAGGATCAGGCCCAGTATTTAATTTATTTCATATTTGGGAGATTGAAATCCAGACATATGAAGTGTTCTGTAATACTAGTACATGCACCCACAGATGATGATGATGATGAAGATAAAGACAGCTTCTATATAGAACTGGGAAAGGTGGTAAAAGGAATACCGAGCCATGACTTAGTCCTCATATGGGGGACTTAAATGCCCAGATTTGGAAAGATAGGAAAGGCTGGTCATACATCTGGAACATTATGTAATGGTACTAGCGTTCTAGAATTTTGTGTAGAAAATAATCTTACGTTTGCAAAATATAAGCACAAAAACATTTGCAAAAAGATCTGAATATCACCAGATGGTTGAATACAGAGCAAAAAAGATTATATATGTATCAGTCATAGATGGAAAATGTCTGTGATAGATCCTACAGTTTTTAGAGGAGCAAAAATAGATGGTGACCACTATTTACTGAAGGCAAACTGAAGATGTGAAACTAACTTTACGTTAGAACGGTTTATACTATCATAAAACAGCTAGCAAAGAGCATGTTTAACTCCAGTAAAGTCCCAGGTTATGTCTTACTACAGCATTATTTTGAAATAGCTTATTTCGAAATAACGTGTCTACACACAAAATGCTTTTTGAAATAGCGCGTCCACACTGAGTGGGCATTGAATCGCATTGAACCAGGTCCAGCAGGGCATCAGGTCAGGAGTTACTTTGTGCGGCTGCTGCCTGAGGCTATCTGAGGCCTGTGCTTAAAGGGACACCATCTGGACAGCCAGTTCTCAGGTTTCCCTGCTTGCTTACCTACCTCGATGAGGGACAGCAAAGCATTTTGTCTCTGTGTGCTTTGGTGGCACTTACTCGGGGCACCACAGCACTCTGGAACATGGAGCCAGAGCTGCCTCTTGGCACTCTGGTGCTTCTCATGGACGCGTTGCTGCGAGCCTGGCTGCACTTTCTGCAGGCTGCCATCTGGGAGGTCCATAGGGGGCTGTCAGTATCCAGGAGGCCTATGGCAGAGCTTCTACCCTGAGGAGCAGTAATAGTCTCCCTGGTGTACCCCACTGAGGGCTTGTGCCTCATTCCTCCTTCATATCCTTCCACTTACCCCTCCCTAACCTCGCTTCCTGATATCAGATAAAATACATGTATTTTCATGAACATAAACTCTCTTTATTTAACATAACTGGGGGAAGGGATGAAACTCTGGTGAGACTGGGAAAGGGAGGCAGACGAGGGGAAGAGAGAGGGTGGGAGAGTGGAGGGGGGAACCTGGGAGGAGGGAGCTGGAAGGGGGAAACAAGGGGAAGAATGGGGAGGGGAAGCTCAGGGTTGGGAGGTCTCGCCAGATCAACTTGATTGTCATGCAAACCTGCTCCTGGGTTTGCATGTGGCCTTTGGTGGCCAGGCTGGCAGGTATCCTTCCATAGACAGCTGTTTTCCTCCATCTAGTGCAGAGATCATGGACGTTGGGGGCATCCCCCCCTAACCTGAATAAGGTCCATGATCTTCACCCTGGACCGGGAAGGTGCCCACCTTCTCTGGGCTTTGCCAGGCTCTTGGGAGCTGGCAGACTACTCCTGGAGAGCGGTGGAGGGCTGGCTGCCAGTGGCTTGCTGGCTCATGTTTTGGGGCCACTGGGTTGGGGCAGTGACTGCTGGCTCTGCACTGTGGCCAGAGTCAACTCCTTTAGGGGCTATGGGGAGGGGAGGAGGGAGAGGAGTGTTCTTGGTTGAGGCTGGAGTGGCCACCAGGGCAGCCTGGAAAGGCTGGAGGCCCGCTATTCGATATGTGTGTCTACATAGCACTTATTTCGAAATAGCTATTTTAAATTTGCAGAAGTGGTGAGGAGTCCCGTGGCATCTTATGCTCCAACACTTCGGTTAGTCTATAAGCTTTCGTGGGCAAAGACCAGATGCATGTAGTAGAAATTTCTAGAGGCAGGGATAAATATGCAGGCCAGAATCAGGCTACAGGTAATGAGGTGTATCCAATCAGGGAGGATGAGGCCCACTTCTAGTAGCTGATCTGGAGGTGTGAATATCAAGAGAGGAGAAGCTGCTTTTGTAGTTAGCTAGCCATTCACAGTCTTTGTTTAATCCTGAATTGATTGGGTCAATCTTGAAGATGAACTGTAGCTCAGCAGTTTCTCTTTGAAGTCTGGTCTTGAAATTTTTTTCTGCAGGATGACTACCTTTAGATCTGCAATTGTGTGTACAGGGAGATTGAAGTGTTCCCCTACAGGTTTTTGTATATTGCCATTCCTAATATCTGATTTTTGTCTATTTTTTTACGGAGGGACTGTCCAGTTTGGTTGATGTATATAGCAGAGGGGCATTGTTGGCACATGATGGTATACCCTCTGATATTTCAAATTTGGCGTTATTCCTCATGGAATGAGGTTCACCAAATTTGAAATAAGCGCTCCACTTTTTTGAATTAATTTCGAAATAGTGGTTTGGCTGTGTAGACGCTAATAAAGTTATTTTGAAATAATAGCTGTTATTTCGAAATAACTTTGCTGTGTAGACATACTCCCAGAGAAAGGGAAATTTGATGAAACTTGTAAGACTCAAGAAGAACAAGAGAACAGGTAGGTTGAACACTTACAAGAAGTGCTTGACCAGTCTCATCCAGCAGCTCAGTCTGAGACCAAGGAAGAGGAACTGCTGGAGTTAGACATTGATGCATCGTAAATCAAAATAGATGAGGTTTACACAAGCTAACAAATAACAAGGCACTAGGAATAGATTACATGTCACCCCCAAATGCTAAAATATGCAGATTAAAAGTTGGTAACAAAAGTATGTTCATTATATAATAAAATATGGAGAGAAGAAAAAGATTCCAGAAGAATGAATATTTGATGCTATAATCAGGCTTCTAAAAATGGGAGATCTTGAGTAAGTGCTTGAATTGGAGAGCAGTGACACTTCTTTTCATCACAGGAAAAGTCTTGGGTATGTTTGTTTTAAACAGGATGAAAGGAAAAATTGATACCATTCTTTGTGAGGAAAAAACTGGTTTTCTTAGAGTGCTTGCTCATGTGGGTATTCCAGTTTAGGTGTGCATGCCACCAGGTATGCATGTGGTGAAAGTTTTAACCTTAGGTGCAACCTGTTGATTTGTCTGTGGAGCCCGTTGGAGTAGTAATCGTGCAGTACCTTATGTGTGACAGTGGAGGTAAGAAATATATACCTCTATTTCAATATACTGACACCGTTTCTTGTGGGACAACTTGAAATGTTCCCCATCATCACCAGTGCCCATCATTCTGTTGCCACCCAAGGACTACATCTCCTTTTCCTATTGTCCCTATGCTAGAATGCCACCATTATAATATATTATGCAGATGGCATGTTTGTTTGATATCGAGTAGGGGATGTTTTCCTTATTTGTATTTTCTTGCCTTACTAATGGTGAAATGTCTTTTTCTAAAGGTTAATATATAATTGATTTCAACTTATTATCGTATATGTTAATTCATTACCGTGAACCTTTTGTGGTTGGTATCATATTTGTTATTTCTGCTCTGGTTATTTTGGTCTTGTTTTAACCGGTTATTTCAGGTTTTTCCAAGTTGGTGTGTACCTGATAAGTTTGAGGATGTAATTGGAAGTTCAACCAACTTATAGACTAAAGCATACCCTATTTTTCTCCAAGAGTGGTAGCATCTAAATAGTCTCCCAACAGTGAGGCTCTCCAGAGACTGTTCTTGATATAGAAAGGAAGGCCTACCTGTAACTAGCAGTCTTAAATTGTTTTACTTCTACATATCTACAATTTACAATACTTTTTCCTGCTTTCAGGGAGTCATTAGCTATTTTGAATATCTAAATATTTGAGGGGGGCTGGGCCATTGTTTCTTTGTAGCCTCTCCTTCAATTTGAAGTGTAAGGTTGGGCCTAAGACACATGCCTGCTCCAAATATTTTGTGGCGATAATGTACATGTATGGTACTCAAATGCATCTGAGGGTACGTCTAGACTACATGCCTCTGTCGCCAGAGGCATGTAGATCAGGCTACCCGACACAGTAAAATGAAGCGGCGATTTAAATAATCGCGGCTTCGTTTCAATTTACATGGCTGCCGCGCTGAGCCGACAAACAGCTGATCAGCTGTTTGTCGGCTCAGCGCGGCAGCCATGTAAATTGAAACGAAGCCGCGATTATTTAAATCGCCGCTTCATTTTACTGTGTCGGGTAGCCTGATCTACATGCCTCTGGCGACAGCGGCATGTAGTCAAGACGTACCCTTAGTGTGATTAGTCACGCTTTTGCCTGATGACTTTGTATAGAACATACTTGCCAAAATTGTTTGTTTGTTATAATCTAAATCACTTTAGAAGCTACAGAAAAGCTGTATTATTTGACCCTGTATCCACTAGAAAGTTCTGTAAACTGGCATTTCTAATTTTCATTAGTCTTGTTTATAATCAGTTGGCATGGGACAATAGATTCCCTACCTGACTCCAGGTGGCTTCCTAGATGCGGCAGCATGTCTCTACTGCTCTTAGGCAAAGGAATTGCTACAAGAGGTTTGGCATGCAGGGCTGTGGGTTGTTTCCCAGGAGTGAGTGTGTAACATGAGCTCTGGGAGGGAATTTGGATTTAGAAGTGGGCTTGGGCAGAGTCTTGAAGAACCAAAGGGTTTCAGGGCACTGGCTGCAGGGGGAGCTTACCTTGGGCAGCTCCCTTGCAAGTGCAGCCTGTCTATTACTCCTGGCAAAGGCAGACACAAGGCAGAGCATGGGCAGTTCACAGAGCTACCTAGCCATTTCTCCTTCAGGAGCAGCAGGTACAGGTGACTACCTGTGGGAGTCACCTGAGGTGAGCGCCACCTGGATCCAGCACCCCAAAACCCCTTTTATATCCCAAGCCCTCTTGCACTCTAAATTTCTTCCTCTTAGTTAATTGGAATTTTTCACTTAAAAGCACTCCTTCCCCCCTTTCCTACCCCCTGCCCAGTTCTCCCCATATGCCAGATAAACTTTTTCTGTAATAGGTTACTTTGATGCATTTCTTGATTTTCCTCCCCCCACCCCCTCCCAAACAGTTGGTTCTCTCGCTGTGTCTTCCAAGATCGTGGACAGGAACTTGTGGATGGGCTGAAGGTCTGCTTGCAAGGTAAAGTGTTTTTTTTCCTTCCTTTAGCAGATAAGGCGTAACAGGCTTCCATGTTACAGTGAGGAAACATCAAATTGCACTAGAATAAAAATAGATTGGAAGTTTCGACACAATTATCAGGTTGTTTTATATAGCTTTTCCTAGGGTATGTCTATACTACAAGCCTCTTTCAAAAGAGGCTTTTTTTGAAAAAACTTCTTTCGAAAAAGCCTGTTTCAAAAGAGATCGTCTAGACAGAAACAACATTTCTTCTTCAAGTGGTAAACCCGTGGGTGCTCCACCGTAGGTGCTGGGCTCGCCCCGGTGACACAGAACGGAGACTCTTCAGTAGCAGTGTTCGGCCAGACCGCACATGCGTGGCAGTGTATCGCGGCATTCTCACTCTTTTCTGTGCTCGTGTGGTCCTTCCCCCACCAGTTCCTCTCAACCGCCTCAGGCTACAGATGGAGTGAACTGGTCTCCTTAACCTCCCTGCTTTGTTCCTTCAATGTGAGATTGTCCTGTTAATAGTTCTTCTTCTCACATCTGTTTCTTCTCTTAATTCTCCTAGTTTAAAAAAAAAATTTTTCTGTTAATAACCAACTTTCCTCAAGTTACTGTAGTTATTAGTGTACACAGTTATATACATATATGTAGTTAATTTTTGTTCATTTAAAAAAAAACACACCCGATTTAAGACTACTGACAAAATGCCATCTTCTTCAGGCTTTAAAAAATGCGACACTTGCCAAGAGGCAGTGCCTGCCTCAGACGGCCATTCTTCCTGCATCTGCTGTCTGGGAGAAACCAATGTTCCTCAAAAATGCCCTCACTGCATAAAACTGACTGTGAGGGCTAGACGGGACAGAGAAATGAGGCTCCGGATGATGCTATTTGATAAAGCACTTCAACTGGAGTCCGCTGATAGCGTAACCTCCTCAGGCCAGCCTCCAAAGTGAAGGGCTTCTTCCCCTACGAGGGCACTGCCCAAAAGAAATAGGGTGTCACCTACTATATCTCTGCCAGTCTTCTCACAGAGCAGAGTTAGCTCAGGAGACAAGCCCAGTACATCCAGCACTTCAAAACCGTGCCCGAAGGCTCCTGCGGCGCCGAAACCAAGAAAACCGCTGGACGTGGCACCGACTCCAGAACCAAAGTCTACCTCAGTACCGACCTCAGCACCGAGGGAATCCATGCCAAGATCATCATCGGCAGGGCTCAACAAAGTATTTAATCTACTCGCTTGTGGCGAGTAGATTTCAGCAGGGCGCCCCGTTCATTTGCGGCGCGCGCATGCGCAATGCAGGTCTTGCACATGCACAGTGCGGGGCTGGCAAGAGGATTTCACCGCCGTTTGTCAAGCCCTGATTTGTGCGGACTGTGGTGCCAAGCTTGGCAGCACAAGCCTCACCTCACTGACTCTGCATGTGACAGGCACCGATGCTATGGGTACCACACCAAGCCCTCATCGGCACCAAAGCCACTCACATTCACGGTCATTAATATTGTCACCGTCACCATCTCTACTAGCACCATGGTCTTCTATACTACATGATTCGGGCCAGCACTGATTTCCAACTCTCCACATCGAAGACTGCCTTCACCATTCTTAGCAGCTCACAGGAGCCATCACCACCATCACAGTCGCTATTCCGTTTCTCCAACATCCTCTAGAGCCTCGTGCGCTCACTCTTGTTCACTGTGCTCAATCCGCTCATCGTACTGGGAACATCCCCGATACACTTACTCCGATAGACGGTCACCACTTGAGAGACTTTACTACCGTGACACTGTTAGTCATCCAATCGCTTAGCAGCTCACAGGAGCCATCACCACCATCACAGTCGCTATTCCGTTTCTCCAACATCCTCTAGAGCCTCGTGCGCTCACTCTTGTTCACTGTGCTCAATCCGCTCATCGTACTGGGAACATCCCCGATACACTTACTCCGATAGACGGTCACCACTTGAGAGACTTTACTACCGTGACACTGTTAGTCATCCAATCGGCGTTTCAGACGAGACACTGCTTTCCACCATGGAGGACCGACCACAGGAGATGCTCTTCTTTGTCCCCGGATGAGGCTGTTATCCCTGTTAACCCTGGGGATGTTTCTCTACCTGACGGCCTCTGTCAATTTCAGGAGCTTTTCAAAAGGGTAGCAATAAGTCCAAGAGATATACCTGGATGAAATAAAGAAGAAGCAGCACTGTCTCCTCAAAAACCTTAAGCCTCAACATAGAGCAAAAATAGTTATACCCCTCGATGAGGCTATACTTGAGGTTGTAGAAGTGATATGACAAACCCTGGCTTCTGCACCACCAACTAGTAAAAAAGCAGAAAGAAAATACTTTGTGCCACCTAAAGGGATGTAGTCCTTTTCACCCATCCCCAACTGAACTCCTTAGTGGTGGTGGATACAACACACCAAAGATCAAAAACACCACAATATAAAAATGCTGCCTCTGATAAGGACACAAAAAGGTTGGACTTATTTGGCAGAAAGGTATATACATCCGCGATGCTTATGCTCAAGACAGCCAATTACTAGCACACCTCTCTAACCATGTCTTCAACAATTTTACAAAGCTTACGCAGTTGCTTGACCCTTTACTGGAATCAGAACAATCCATACTCAAATCAGTTGTACCGGAAGGCTATACCTCAGCAAGAACTGCACTCTAGATAGCTATGGACGTGATAGACATGGCAGCGTGTTCCACTGCCACAGCAGTGGTGATGAGATGAGCATCTTATCAATCGGTGGGAGTGCCCAAAGATCTCCAGACCAAAGTCGAAGATTTGCCGTTCAAAAGAGACAAACTTTTCTGAAAAGACTGACAGCATGCTACATTAATCGAAGGACTCTTGCACAACACTCCGAACGTTAGGTGTGTACTCCCCACCATACAGACGACAAAGTTATCCTTCCTATCAGCGACACTACAACTGTTCATACGTCAGACAGCAATGGCAGCACCAACAAATGGCCCTCAACCAGCAACGTAACCAGCAAAGACCTTTGAGGCGTTGAAACCAGGGGAATCGTACTCAGACCCCACTGAATAACAAACAGCAGGTTCGACACCTTGGTTGAGGGTACGCAGACAAATGAGCATGTCAACAAAAGTCACCAATTTCACCCACCTGAGGCCTTTTTACCACCAATGGACCTCAATCACCTCTGACAAGTGGGTATTAGAAATAGTTCAATCTGGATACTCCATACCGTTCATCACCATACCCCCTCCTCCCACCGCATCCCTCTTCAGGGACCCATCTCACGAGACCCTGCTACGCACAGAAGTTGATCACCTTCTCTCCATAGGTGCAATAGAACCAGTTCCAGCACAATTCAAAGGCAGGAGAATCTACTCCCATTATTTTTTCACTCAAAAGAAATCAGGTGGATGGCGACCAATATTAGATCTCCAGAATTTGAACAAGTTTTTACGAAAACATCAATTTAAAATGGTGACCCTTGCTTCAATAATACCCGCGTTGGATCACGGCGACTGGTTTGCGGTCCTCGACCTCCAGGACACGTATTTTCACATTACACAGAAGATTCTCATGATTTACAGTTGGAACAAGCCACTTCCAATACAGGGCCCTTTTGGCCTTTCCACCGCCCCCAGGATATTCTCAAAAATCCTGGCGGTAGTAGCGGCACACCTCCGTTGAGAAGGGTGATCATATTCCCTTATCTAGAAGACTGCCTATTGAAAGGTCGCTCTCACACCAAGATTCTCGATATGCTCAAGGCCACCATGAGAACCTTCCACGCCCTTGGACTACTCATCAATGGCCAAAAGTCCACTTTTCACCAGACTCAAGAGCTGGAATATATTGGTGCTCACATAGAAATGATCACCACAAGAGCATTCTTACCCATCCAGAGATTTCAGGCCACCTGAGTAAGACCTGATAGAAGTTGTTTAAGACAGTCCATCTGTCCAGATAATCACTTGTTTAAAACTTCTGGGTCACATGGTAGCTACAACTTATGTGGTCTGCTATGCCAGACTACACTTTTGCAGCCTTCAGTATTGGCTAGCATCCTTATACAATCACATGAAGCACAATCTCTACAGATCAGTGACCTCTTTGCCTTCTGTTCTCCAATCGCTGCATTGACGGACAAACTGCACGAATCTTCTTGCTGGCGTGCCCTTCCACCCACATCAGGCCTCGTGTCACATTACCACTGACGCCTCCGTTCTAGGATGGAGAGCACAAATGGGCAATATTTCCATACAGGGCAGCTAGTCACTTTCCGAGACACGACTCCACATAAATTTCTTGGAACTCAGGGCAAATCTTCAATGCCTGCAGATATTTCCTCAGTTACATCTGCAATATGTCGGTAAGAACCTTCACAGACAATGTCACCTCAATGTATTATGTGGACCTCCAAGGCGGAGCCCGCCGCTCCTCCCTCTGCGTGGTAGCGATCCACTTTTGGAACTGGTGCATTCGCCATGGCATAACACCTGTGGCATCTTACTTGCCTGGCATCACGAATGTTCATGCAGACTTCCTTAGGAGACACTTCTCTCCGGATCACGAGTGGGAATGGCATGACGGAGTCCTCCATATTCTCTTCTGATGCTGATAGGCACTCCCCTAATAGATCTTTTTGTCGTGCATCCCACATCAAATGTCAGAAATATTGCTCCAGAGCCAGACTCGGCCCTGGCTCCCTAGGCGATGCATTTCTCCTCAACTTGAGCAGACCTCTCCTGTATGCCTTCCGACCTACAGTTCTTATTCCCAAAGTTCTGCAGAAGATCAAAACAGATGGCACCACAGTCATACTGATAGCACTAGCATTGGTGTATCTGCACTGGTTCCCCTTCCTTCGACGCATGTCACCATACAGACCGTATCAACTGCCAACCCACCTTCTCTGTCAGAATCCTGGGACATGCGACACCCCCAAATTCATACCTTGCAGCTCACTGAATGGTTCCTAGTGGATGAACCCTTCTGAATCCCTTTGCTGTATTAAGGTTCAAAAC